TCACGTTTGCTTTTGTTAACACTGTCGGATAGGTTTAGTGTAGGTCGTGTGTTATTTTTAAATGCGATACAGCACCTTTTATCACCACTCACCAGGCATTTCATTTCCAAACTGCCACAATACGTACATCAACCAACATAATAAAACATTGTTCAACTGTTTCGGGTAAAATTGAATACGCTTTTAGCGGCAATCACTGGACACTGGTGACTTACAGTGTATTACATGCAACTACACTTACTAACTAGAGTGGCCATTTCTATAACGCCAAAAAGGAGGACACTTTGGACACTGAACCAACACTGTTCAGTAAGGACAGAAATGAACGTTCATTTCATTTTCATTTAGGAGTGATATTTACACCCTTAAACTGATTTCCAAGGCTTTCCCCCCTCCTTTATAACCTTTGTAAAGAATATGCCATCTTTAATGTAAATTATTAAATCTACTCAATAAATGTGATTTAAATAATAATACACTATAGGGCTGATACCAGTTAAATTAAATAAATATCGACAAAATCCACCTTGGCACAGAAGCTGCATCTGAAGTGTCATTTAGATGTATTTACACAGACTGTTTAATGCAGCTCAGAGATGCCATGAATGCATTTACACTGCAGTTACAATTGCATAAACAATTGTTATGAGATTAATGCTTTAAATATACAATAGATTGAATAACTGATACTTTAAAGGGGTCACAAAAAGCAGATTTCAAGTTTTCCTTTCTCTTTGGAGTGTTACAAGCTGATTGTGCATAGATAAGATCCCTGAAGTTGCAAAGACTAAAGTCTCAAAACCAAAGAGATATTCTTTATCAAAGTTAAGACTCTGCCACGCCCCCCTAAAACGGCTCGTTCTAACACGCCCCCACATAAATCAGTGAAATTTACTTATCAGTAAGTTAATAAGTAAATCACTGATTTACTGTTTCAACTGATTAGTTCAAAACAGCTGATTCAGAAATGAAGCATAGTACTCTTACTATTTTTGTCATGAAAAAATATGCTAAAAATAGTAAGATTAGTGTACTAGTATGCAGTTTTGAATTTAGACACTGTCTTTATGAATGGCTTATGGAATCATTGACTCCCTTGATTCATCCAAAAACACTAAATAATTCAGGAACAAAATGCCACTGTAGATCAGAGACAGCAAAACAGTCCATATTGACAATATTGTCTAAAATGCATGTCAATTAATATTAATATGAACATAACATTAACATTTATTAGGTATGTATTTATTTCTTTATACACCATTGTATAACATAGTAATCTTAAAAGGAGGACAAATGAGCATCCGGCTCAAGCCTGCACTAGTAGACAGACATGATATTTCAAAACCGGACTGTCCGACCTAAAACTGGATGGATGGCCACCCTAAACACAACCTCACACTTTAGGTTTTAGATTTAGATTCCAACAAGAATAGCACCCAGACTCTGTTAAACTTCTCACATTGCCAAGATGAAAGCCTTTCCTTCGCATGTAAATTGTTAATGTGAGGCTGATTATACAACCTCGTGTACAACGGACAGATAGAAACCATCAGAAATTCTGGCTTTGTGACATCAATTTAGAGCAGAAATCATGCTCTGGGAGTCTGGGACACCTGAGCTTCCAGTGTGTCTCTATTTCTTTGTCTTATTCATTTCCATCCAACTGAATTGTGAGGATGAATTTGTAATCCATGAGTAGGTAATTCTCCTTCCGTAGGGAAATCACTGAAGGAGTATACAAAACCAAACAGCAAAATTACATTCTTTACACATGTAGGCAGAAAACTAATTGGAATCTGACAGCGAAAGAGAAAGGTGAGAATGATCGGTAAACACATTTACAGACTAAATAATAGGCTGCCAACATTTTAACAAAGACTGTCAAAGGTTTTGTTGCTAGAAATAGGCTAATAAAACACGATTAGGTGCACACTTCAGGTGGGACAGCTTATGAAACATTTTCATTCATAAACTTTTGATGCCCTGCCTTTTCTTTCCTTTTTTCATATAACCTCATATTTATGTATGGAGTTCTTTATTGCAAAGAAAATGAAAAACGTTGCTGTGCGAAGTGGTTTATATTTTATGAGATCTTTAAAAACAACATGAAACAGCATTTACAATGCATTTTGTGTTTATGTGAAACACAAAATTCAGTGGGAAATAGCTCAGGAAGTGATGATGAAATAGATATCATGTTTGGCTATGTATATTATTAGCTAATATTATTTTAATAGCACAAAAAGCGTTTCAAAAGCAGAGGGAGTTATTATCATTTATTGAAAGCGTATTCCCCCCCGCAATAAGAACAGGGAGACTTTTTTTATTAATTTAGTCTTTAGATAATTAATATCTGTAAATTAAAAAAAAAGGAAGTTGGCTTGCAGTGTTGTTGCTTCCTGATGCAAGACTTATGTAAAACACACACACACACACTCACACAGTTGTGCCCTTACTCGGAAACACCCTCTTCAACTCACGTGAAACATCGCTGTTGTGCTACTGTCATGTCTCATGTCACATTTCAAGAGAGACGTAAAGTATTTTTGTATCGTCCCTGATGTTCCTGTCTCCAAAACTCTTTTTGAAAACCTGTCACCATGAGCACGTGGCAATTATTTGTTTACTTCCTTCAAATCAAATTTAAAAGGATGCCAAGCCAAAACTACAAAACAGGCCGTTTTTCCTCAGCTGTCCTCTAACATCTCCGAAAACGGCTGCCGCTTCTTCTGCCCCAGAGAAGACTGTATGCTCATCTGCACCAGTCAGTTTCAGACCACAAAAACACCTGCATTTGGACATATCCACTTTAACTACAAGTTCCAAGGGTTCAATATGTCCAAATTGCCAGAGAAATGGTGCATCAGGTCCGCTGAGCTTATCGTTTGTGACTGTAATGAAAAAGGACTACATCTGAACATTCAGTCTTGCCTTCGGCATTGTGCATGTTACTGCAGCTAAACACTTCTGCGTCAAATAGAGCAGAAACAGGTGATGAGCAAAGAGAGGGACGATGCCGTTCACACAAACTGTTTAATACTGATGCGCTTGTGTTCAGCCACGGACCAATGACTTTTCTCCCTGGATCATTCAGTGCAGCTTTATCCAACAATGTCAAAAGTGTGGTTGTCAAGGAAACATTATCTAGCATGAGTCAAAAATTCACAGTTGTGCAGGCCCTCAATACAATCATTAATTAGTACACTAGGAAGTCTCATTTACATGGAAACAACACAAAAAAAAGTTTAGCAACTGCCTTAAGCTTGCTCTTTCTAAATGGAGCTTTACTTGAAATGCCAAAGTCTGCTTACAGTTTTACACTTAAAAAAAATGCCACAGCCTACCACAGAGGTATACTATTTTCCTTAAAGGCACAGTACACTCAATTCATGAACATGAACACACACACACATACGCACACACATCTGTCTTCAAAACAAAACCGACTTAATGGTGGTGGTGGTGGGGGGGGGTTGGGAGAGAAAATGTTAGCATTCAAGGAATTTGAGCAATTCAGCAATATTGGTTTCTTTATCTGCAAAAGGATGATAAATAAAATACTTAAATAGATGCGATCTGGGGCAAATGTAATGCTTTTTTGATATTCAGAAGACTTGATCAGTGGTTGGGTGACACCTAAAACAGAAAAAAAAATTATATATATATTATATAAAGGTTCCAATTCTTTTAGCTTTTACATTTAATTATTTGGGTTAAATACTTCTGTACTGAAAAAAAAAATCAGCTGAACAAGAACAGTCTAAATGAGAACAAGAATTAGATACTTTAATGTACACTGTATGTTGTAGAGACTCATTCTTTCAGCTCAGATATAAACATAGTTGTTAAGAAAACATGAGCTGGCATCAGTTGCAAATTCAAAAGTGTGCAAGCCATTAATATATTTAGTGTATAGCTTATTGTAAATATAACAAATGTCACAAACCACATATCATGATAAAATACATTGAGTATTAGTACCTGTCATTCATATGTCATTCAACTTTAAACGAGTAACCTAAGATAAAATAGACATATAAGTTTAAATTAACTTTAAAGACATCAAAACTTCAAATGGCAGATGGAAAAAATATTTATAACACAAAGCAATTTTTTTTCTCTTACGTTACAATTGCCCCAAATCGTCCCTTTTCACAAAGATGAAAACCTTGAAAAAAAAGTAAAAAAGATCCTAAAAGTGCTGCTCAAATACTAAATCTTAACATGTCAATGCAGACAGGATCCAAAATAGAATTCATTATTGTGAAGAAAAATCCCCCATCGCACGTTTGCACAATTAGTGGTTTCTGCATAAACCTTTGCACATGTTAGCCTAACAAGCCAAAATGTTATTTTAGACATCACACATGATGTTTCGGATTAAGTACTTCATGTTTTAGATGAGAAGGACTGTCAAGAGCCTCTCTAAAGCACAATCCTGCTATCATCAAATGGAAACAAGCCGTTTTTGTTTCTGCTTACATTTCTCTCTCACACACACAACATCAACAACAGGCAATTCAACTAACATGTATGGTTCTCTTATCTGTTGCCAACTCAAGTCAAGTGACCATCGGCATCTTAGATTAATCTATTTTTTAAACTAGAGAAGGTAAGACCTTTGGAAACCTGAATCATATTCCAGAGAGCAAGAGTGAGTGTTTAACTGCTTTAGTAAATAAAAAAATCTACAAGACACTTAATTTTCCAAATTGTCTGTAAGAGCATTCAGGGCCTTTTATTTGAGAAGCAACTTTAACGATCAACAAAACATGATAACACTTCTGTAAACAGAAAAAAAAGCAGAAAGAAAGAAAAGACAGAGCAAATTAGATTGGATTTTAATACCTTGACCTCAACAGGATTGCACAATGAAATTAATAACCAATATACAGATTTCTCATGACTGATATAAAATTGTATTTATTTTATCTCTCATGGTACATTCTATTTTAAACAATCATTAACTTAATATTTTAAATAAAGACTGAATGGAATTAAGCCTTTTCTTTAAAATAAAAATTAAGCTCTCTCTTTCTGTAATATTCATTTGAACAGAAAACAAAATAAAGATTTCAAGCTAACATGATTGAGCGTAATAATATTGCACATGAAAAGTGATATGATTCTGATCAAATCTGCAGCCTTTTCATAAGGTGAGTTAAGTCTCACAGTTGTGCCGATAAAACACAGTCCGCTCCACAAGTACAATAAATTACAGCCAATTAGTACTTTATTCCCACAATGCATTTGCACTATCCAGAATCATATCACGTTAATGCACACTTATTCGGTTGCATATTGTTAATAAGAAACCTTTTACAAGTTGCTCTGGGATATAAGAAGAAGCAAACTGTTAGATGTGATATGCTAGGAGGCCTCACCTCGTGCAACGTGACAGTGAAAATGACATCACCGTCATCTGTATGCCTCTGTCGGTCAGCCACCAGCAGAATTCAGAATGTAACTCAGGTCAGAAGAGAATTTTAGATTCAGAGCTCGAACTAAGAGCCTGTATCACTTATAGCATTCAAAATGTCCCTTGAAATTGTTAAATAGTACCAATAGTCTTTAAATAATTCTGCATAGAAAAATAAATTAAATATGAAGTTAAACTACGAATTGACAGATGACAGTGGTCATCAATGTTTTTTTTTTTTCTTTTTCTTTTTTGATTTTCCCGTATTTTTCTTGAATCCACTATGTTTTTCTTGATGAATTAAATTGTCGACTGTTGTAATTTACACAACTGCCCCACAAATACAAATAATGTTGACTTACAAAATAAATCCATATACGCTTACATGGCAAGCAGCTGTTTAGTTTCTCTTGAGTTCATGAATGACCTGTCATGTGCCATAACCAAACACTTCAAGAAGAATCACATTTCAGTAGAACGATATCAAATGGCTCTTTACAGGTAATTGGGATAATCCAAAATGTACGGATGTTGGCTGCCAGTACCTTCATATATAATCAAATCCAAGAGTTTCAAGTCCCCGAAAGTGGCAAAATATAATCCAAGAGAGGGGAGTCTGGGGTATTCCACCAGTTTCAAGCATTTGCCAACTTCCATTTCTTCCACTCCATTTGATTTTGTCATCCCAAGATGCCTAAAAATACTTCCAACGAAACACAATGAAGAAGGGTCAATATGAAGTACACTCAACACTGTTTCATGACCCAATCATTTGGTAAAAACAAAGTTCAGTGGGATTTGATGGAATTCATAATCAATAGCAGCAAACTACGACTGTTTTTAAGGATACTGACTGATGTGATTCTTAACTCTTAATGGCATCACAACATAACAATTGTATGTAATTTTTTACACAGCCAACGATTCTAAGGGAGTTACGTTTTGTGTAATGAAACGTGTCCGGTATTCCATTGGTCATTAAGATTTGTCTTAAGGCACTTTTGTCATTACGGGGCAGGTGAAGATGATGTTCTAGAATTTACTGAGGGCTGTCTGTTCCTCTAATACTTGAAGGTAGTCTGGGGTCCCCATTTTTGCCTTTAGTTCATAATAATCACTTTTACGCTGCTCAATCACTATCTTACTGTGGTTGCCCCCTATCAATGATTTTTTCATTTTTTTGTCATGTGGTTTCTCGGGGTAACGGATCTCAAAGCCACTCACCCCTATACTGTTGAAATCCTTTTTGCTCTCCAAGTAGTTGTGGAGGAACATGCTGTCTCGTCTCGGTAAGAACTCGTCCAGCTCGTCAATGGTGCTTAATCTGTTCATGGGGTCCAGGGGTAGAGAGTCCTTGTCTTTGTCGGCACTGTTGCATAACATCATTTTCTGTCTCTCTGAATCTACAAATTTGAAGCCCGACTCTGAGTCTCTAATTCCACACGTGTGAGCTTTGCTCATGTGCTCGATGGTCTGCGGGATGAAGGTCTCTCCACCAAGGTCGTCCTTCTTGTTAGATTTGTGATTGTGCCTCCTGATCTGGAGAGGCATGGAGCCGCACTCCTGGTTGCCGAGTCCCTCCTGTCTTCCCGCTGGCTTTTTGTTCCGTCTCAACACAACGACCAGCAGGCAGAAGGCCACAAAGACAGTGAGGATCAGAACTACCAGTATACTCAATATCATAATAGACAAGGGCACAGGACCACTGGGGGGTGCCTTGCCAACTCCAGCCGGTGACAGCGATGTGAGGACAGGGGTGGCGCTGGTCAGGATGAAAGGAGGCCTGGCTATGAGCTTCTGGCACATGATCTCATTTTTCAGCTCTCTCAGCTCAATGTTGGAGAATTGCACTGGAGACACACACTTGACCCCTTTGGCAGCGACCCCATCGTTCAGCTTTTCGAGCCAGAGTTTCAAAGCCACTAAATCGCAGGAGCATTCCCAAGGGTTGCCATCCAGGTCTATCTGAGTGAGAGATTTGAGCTGGTCTAGGACGCCACTCACAGGCAGAGTCATGAAGTGGTTGTTCTTTAGATTCAATCTGGCAAGAGAAACGCCTGCAAAGATGTAAGCAGGCAGGCTTCTGAGCACATTGTTATTTAGATACAAGAGCTGCAAATTTGGCATGGAATCAAATGTCCCTGCTAGCACCTCCTTTATGGCATTGTACTCCAAATAGAGATATTGGAGGTTACTAAGCCCAAGAAACATTTCAGGGTGCAGCTGCTCTAGCTGATTTCCATTTAGGTATAGCCTACGGAGGTTGGTAAGATTTGCGAACACACCTTTTTGGACGGTGGATATTTGATTGCTGCCCAAATGTAATAAATCTAAACCTTCAAACCCTTGGAAGTCAGTGGGACTGATATCTCTGATGTAATTACCACTAAGGTGCAATTTCTTGGCATTTGGCGGTTTAGGTACAAGATCTGCTAGACTCTGAATGTTTCTTTCTTGACAGCTGACACTAATGCCAAAGTCAGAAGGGTGAGCTTTGCATGTGCAGGGCTGGGGGCAGGAAAGGAGAGGGATTCGCGTTTGATAGGACACGATTTGGCCATTTTTACCAGCGACAATCCCATTGCCATATATTTTTGAGGGATTGGTAGTTTTGGGTGCTTTGGTCACTAAAGGTGCAATGGTTGAAGGTGCCACGTTAGACATGGTTAGCCCACCCTCAGGCTGGGAGGGGGGCATCCGTACATCAAAGTCACTGCCTGTCCCCATGGGGCACAGCTCCTGCTTATTTGTCTCCTTTAAGAGTCTGCCATACAGGTCACTAGGGGTCTCACAAATAGCCTCTCCAATGAAAATGTTATAGGGCATATTCTCCAACCAGGCTTTCAAAGGCAACAAATCACAAGTGCAATTCCATGGGTTGTCATCCAACTGCAATTCCACTATCCGCCCAATGTGCTCCAGAACTCCAAGATAAGGAAGCTTCTGTATCCTATTCCCTCTTATGTCCAAGTGAGTAAGGGAGGCGAATCGGAAAATGTTCTCAGGTAGGCTTTGAATCAGATTGTCATTTAAAATGAGAACCTTCAGTTTATGTAATTTGTTGAAGGCTCCTTTCTCAATGAACTTGATTAAATTGTAGTCAGCCTGGAGGTATTCCAAGTTCTCGATACCTCGTAATGTGTCGGCACGGAGTTCTTTTAACTCATTGTTATTTAAGTGCAACTGTTTCAATGCACTAAGCCCCACAAAGGCCCCTCCCTCAATGTTCTGGAGTTTGTTGTTCCCCAGCTGCAGTGAGACTGCATGTGTGAAATTCACAAAAGAGTTGGGGTAAAGGATGTACAAAAGGTTGTTCTGGAAATTCAAATGGTAGAGGCTGGATGCTGGCGGCTGCAGCTGTGTAGGTCTGTACACAGTTATTTTCTCACAGTTCACATAGAGGACGTTCTCGATGGACATGCAGGAGCAAGCGCTGCAGGTTTCAGCTCTGAGGTCCGAATCTGAGTCACAAAATGTACCCGATATGGAAAAGGCCAACAGAACAAGCAGCAGCATTTTGCCTTTTACAAATCCCCCAGTAAACCATTTAGTAACCTTAGAGGGGGGAAAAACAAACAAACAATCAAAACACATGCCTGTTTCCCATTGAGTCACACAGCTAATGCCAAGATCTTACAGCAGGGGTGTTTAAAAATCCCTCTGCGCACACAAAGAACTTGGAAAAACCTGTTATGTGCCTTTTGGATTCAAGCATAATATCTGAGACTACACTGAAAATAAATGTATCTGTATTTACCAGCACCACAATGATAAAAAAAATGAATTTTAATACACTGACGTATTGTGACTAACACCGCAATGAATGTATGCATCAGCGTATTTCTTGTGTTTCAGTGAATCGAAGATGGGGGGGGGAAAGTCTCTTTCCATCGCATACAGAAGACAGTATCATCACCTTCACAAAGACGTTATTTAAAATACAGTGCAAAGAGATTATGACCTTTGGATTCTCAAGCTTTGCCAACAAATAACTGAATATATAAAAAAAAGATAAGAATTCAACACTCACCGGCAATGTTAATATTTCCTCCTTTTCAGAACGCACCGGACATTGGGAGCGCCAAGAGAGGGACTATTTCCATTCAGTCAGGTTCAGATTTCAGTCTCAGCCTCTCTCGTCAGGCTCCACTTGTACAAAACATATATTGTTTCATAAAATCCCAAGGTTACTGAGCTCTTTTGAGGCATCTCAAACACGAAGCATGGTATTTGAACTGAAAAATTAATTCGTTTCAAAACCAAAATTAAAATGATGAAATAGCAAGTGGTGAAATTTGATGCAAAACAACTCCAACATTCTTCCGTTAAAAGAACTGAACATCAGTTTAGACGCAGTGTGAACTGACAGTTCGCTCAACAGTTCAGGAAAAACAACTGATACAAATCTTAATAAATTAATCGCAACAATCCATCGCGCGTCGCGGCTCAACCCGATTATCGAAAATCGGAAATCGACTCCAGTTGATTCCTGCCGTTTCTTGGGATTATGCAAATTGCGAGATAAAAGAAAAATAAACTACAGCGCCCTGATGTCAGACCGACGAGGAAATTAATAATTCAGCTGAGTAAAATACGCTCGAAAAAGAGATGCCAACCTACACCACATCATCAAAATAAGCATTGCTGGTGCAGTCCTCGTCCGAATAATGAGACCAGTCTTATAAACCAACTATTCCACCTCGTCTTCTTCTAAGTATGTTGGTAGTTCTTTGCGCGCGTAACATATTTCCTGACAACAGCGCGTATTTTTTAAATTATTTATTTTATTTATTTGTTCTTTATTTTACAATATTTATATTACTCGCGCGCGTGCGTGAGTGTGTTAGAAAGATAGAGAGAGCGAGAGAAGGGTGGGCGAATGACAGGTCGAACATATTGAAGAACAACATTTAACTTCAAATATCTCTGAAACACTCAATAGCGAACACTACAGAGCTCTCTTTCTCATGTGTTTTTCGTTGAGGGATCTCTGGAAATGGTGACGCGTAATCTTTAGTTGGATCACGGCCAGTTTGTACGCGCCCGGTTGCCTGGCAGCAGCAGGAGGATTTAACGCGTGGGATTCTTTATTTTCTTTATTTTACAATTCTAAGATTGCGTGGCTACACGGCACCGCATTCAGAAACTGCGGCAAAGTCACACACAGTGGCTTGAGCTGTTGCACGCGCTCTGCACGCACAGCGATACATCTTTATAGGTTGACAGTTCGCCAGGGATGGTGATTCATTCTTGATAGACAACAGGTGCACCGTTTTATCGACTTCTTATGTCTTTCCAATAACCTGAACATTGATTTGTGCTCATGCATGTGTTTAATTGACTTTATGCCGTGCATGATCCACAATTGGGAGCAGTTATGATTAAACCTTTAGATTATGAAGATGTAATAGGAAAATAGCGGACACAGATGAAGTGTCCGTGTCTGTTGTGTCCACTTGGATCTGCAGTGGGTTAATGTTGAACCAAGAAAAAAAAAAAAAAAAATCAAAAACGGCGCCCTCATCTGGCAGAAAAAAGAGAGATTTAGCTCATAAAATGGATTGAATTTCAAGCTGTTTTTTTTATTTATTTAATTGTTTTTATATGTTTAGATTTGCTTTATATTTAATCCATGGTGCGCATGATGTGATATAGGGGAAATGGGGTGAGCTGGTAAAAGGTGAGGTTGTCACCGTCTGTCTCAGAAACTGATTTCAGCCAAAAATCCAATTGAATACATGTGTTTTTCTCTGGTAATAAACTGTAGAATAGTTTTTTTTAAATATATAATACCAACTAAAATTCATACTTTATGTTGAGGATATGTGAACACACTAATGATTAACTTAATAATGTAACAAAATAATTTAACTAAAACAAGGGTTTGACAGAGAGTAATGGCTCAGTTTCAACTTTTCAGAAAGTGAGTAATGAGATGCGATATATGTAAAGGATGCCGGTACTGCATTCCTCTGGTTGTTTTTACAATTTGCATGTAAAAACACAGTGGTTGAAAAAGTAAAAAAAAAAAAAAAAAATTTGTAGCATTATCAATGTCTCAAAAATCTAGTGAACACACTAATGATTAACTTAATAATGTAACAAAATAATTTAACTAAAACAAGGACAAGCATATTTTTCATAAATATCAGATCAGGAAAGTTGTTGTATACTTTTCAATTTTATTAAATTATAAATGACAGTTTCTGACATCCAAAACAACAAATTGTTATTTTGTATGTACTGTTTTTAATGTTACATGTGCAGAAAAGTCATTATAAATACATTTTTTTAATATAGACAAGACTCTATCTGTCTATAAAGAAAAAAAAAAAACTCACCCTGATAAATATTATTTGGCGTATTGTGAAAACTTGCCCCAATCATGCTACAAAGAGCTTATAAAGTTAATTCCATTTTGAGAGTGTGTGTGTGTGTGTGTGTGTGTGTGTTACTTTAAAACCAAATGTTTTAATATTCACATTGTTGAACACAGAGCTCATTTCAGCCTTATATAACATTTCGGAGCCTAAAACAACATCTGTTGGATCAACGTGGAAAAAAAAAGATATTTATTGAGCCCTCAACTATAAAAGTGATGGTTTGCACCTTCTACTAGTCTGGAAAATTATTGAAGCTTATTGCTAATAGAGAGCCGAAAATCACAAGAAATTCCCGCCTCAACAAGAAGTAAAAGAGCAAAGAGCCCCCAGGGGCTTCGCTCAGTTATAAGCTGGGCAGCAATGTCGCACTTGTTCATATTTTGTAAATTTCTGTTTATACCAAGGTATGGGGTAAACACTTTCAGTCTGGGTGTTTAGTGTGAAGTGACAGCCTTTGCTCTGTGAATATGGGGGTTGTTCTGGTTTTTGTGTCTGACTCTCTCAAGTTTCCGTCTTTGATATGTTAAACAACTGCCTATTTTTAACTAGCATCAAGAAGAAGAAGAAAATAGCAATAGTGGTGGTGACAAAAAAAAACAAAACAAAAAACATATAAGTGTTGTTTGTTTTGTAAACAGTTTTGTCATTTGGGTTGGTTGAATATGCCTTAATTTAATCTACATTTAATGTCAGTGCTCAGTGTTTTTTTTTTTCACCATAAACTTACTGTCTAACAAAAGTGGGAACCAACAATTATTGTTCAGTTATTTCAATGTTATACCTTGTCTTGCCTTATTTACTTCTGGAAATATTATTCATCTAATATATTTAGTCAGTATATGTTTGTTCTTTTACATTTAGTTTTGTTTATTCGCCCCTAACCCTAACCCTAACCTAACCCTAACCCAAATAAATATATATATATATATATATATATATATATATATATATATTTTGTATGTGTTTCTGTGAGTCGCTGATACAAAATAAATAAAACTTAAAAATGGTGGGAAAGAACATTTTATATCATTAGTGTATGTGACACTTACACTTACAAAAAAATCTTACAATGTTTGACAGAGAGTAATGGCTCAGTTTCAACTTTTCAGAAAGTGAGTAATGAGATGCGATATATGTAAAGGATGCCGGTACTGCATTCCTCTGGTTAGCCTCTTCTCCCAATAGGCAAAACAGAGAATGTCGCCTTCATTCCACACGTTTTACAGCTTTCTTTTAACCCTTGCTCCTCGTTCCCGTCAATCATACAGCAATCTAATAAAGTACATCCCTCCAGCTGGCAAACATGTTGATTGACAGGCAGTCTGTTGAAATAGGGTAATGAGATAGAAGAGATGACACTGTGGAACGTCGCCTGCAGTGGATGAGCGTGGCTGGGGGAATGTCTACCGGGGATTACCGCGAAGAACTTTGGAGTCTACTGGCAAAAATGGCTTTGAACTATCTACATATGTACACATGCGATGATTAAAGGTGTTTATCTTTCATGTAGTCTGAAAGGGTACTAAGCCTTCAGGCATTGAAGACGCCCACATCCATTAGGAAAGCTGAATGTGTTTGAGTGGCAAGGGTTTTTAAATAGAAATGAAAACAATAGATTTTATGGTATTTTATAGTGGTTTTAACATCTTTAATGGAAGTGATGGAGATAAGAAAAATAATGAGAGAGAAACATGATCATAAATGAAAGATGGTTATAGAAGTGAACAGGCATCTTTGTATAGTCAGAGATGACAAGGAGGCAGCAGGGGATACTAATGTCCACTCCACAGTTGGCAACAACAGATCCGCTGTGTCTCATCTGTTTCAATTGAGTCTTGTGCCTCCTCAAATATCGCAAGGTTTCTATTAACCACAAAGATAGCAGTAGCATTCACATTGTGGCCCACTGGGCTTGGATCCAAAAAAAACAAAGAACACGGCAATTGTGCGTATTGTTCAACCGTGGTCCTTCAATATTGTAAAGCCTGGTGAATCGCTGAAAATAAGACATTATGAGATCATGTGATGTGATCTGTTCTGATTCTGTGTGCTGGAAGCCGTCACTTCAGACATTAATTTACTGTATAAAAGAAAAGTGAATTGTCAAAAGATAATTTTCTTATAAGAACTGGTTTATTGCATGGCACACACACATGGCTGCCCAAATGGTAGACACACATTCAATAATGTTTGTGCAAGATTGATTAAACATTTCAAACTGTGTTTGTCTTTATAATAATAAAAAAAATGGGTCAGTGAGATTTTTTTATGCTTTTAGTCATGTGTGTGTGTGTGTGTGTGTGTGTGTGTGTGTGTTGAATGTTGACCATGACTCTTAAGCAAGCTTTACAGTGCTATATATATATATATATATAAATGAATGATAACATGTGATTTAAATCATGTGATGCAAAGCTGAATTTTCAGAATCAGTCTTCAGTGTCCAGTGTGATCTTTCAGAAATAATTCTAAAATACAGATTTGCTGCTCAAGAAACATTTTGTATTATTATCAATGAGAAACATAATGCTTAATATTTTTTTGTGGAAGTAATGATAAAATAGTTTTTTCAGGATTTTGTGAATAGAAAGTTCAAAAAAACAACAATATTTATTTGAAACAGAAATCATTTACAACATTATAAATGTCTTTATTGTCACTACTAATCAGTTTAATGTGCCCTTTCTATTACTTTCAATAAATAAATAAATAAAAACACAGTAACCCAAAACCTTTACAATAAAATCATTTACATTTAGACAGAAAAATAAATATTTCATGTCGATTGAAAAATGCCATTATTAACAAAAAAAAAATGATATTAAGATTTGTCTTTTATTAATGATATTAAGATTGAATAATTCATGCTTCTGAGCACCTCTGAGCATTTTGGGGATTAGCATTTTCAGGAAACAGATGAAATCATTTGAAATTTGGCTAAAACTCCATCACGTATTAAGACAGGAAATGGTATGCATTTCGAAAAGCTTCGGCCTGGATTGAAATAGGTTGACACATCCGCCTATAGGGACGACAACTAGAGAAAGAAAAACTTGAGCCGGCCAGCAGACAGACAGCAATCCTGCAATATGCTGCTCAGTGGGAGCTCGGTACATGTTTATCATGGCCAGAGCCTCTAGAAGTTTAAGAAGTGATGCTCCTACGTGGTGCTTTGCTGCATGAGTTCTCCCACAGCTCGGAGTCAGATTTGCTCAGCTGTCAATTTCATTTGTGAGCCACTGTGGCTTAATATGCTTCCAAAGAATTCGGCTGGAAAGAGGAAGACAGCCACATGAGCGGTTTGTTTGTGCTG